GACCGACTGGCTGGGAGCCATATTCTTGCCAAAGTTAGTCACACAAAGGGGCCTGGCGGAGGGGCCGCCCGCGCGCGCGGGGCTCGCCTTATATCTGTGGAGGGCGGCGCCTGCGCAGGGCCCGGCGCGGCGGCGCGGCCTTTGAAGTCGCGGCGGCTGCGGCTTTCATCCTTTCTTTTTTCCCTCTCAGGCCCCTTTGTGTGACTAAATTTGGCAAGAATATGGATCCCAGCCAGTCTTTCCACGTGTGCTCCCAGCTCCCAGCTGAGAAGGCCAAGGGTTCTCTTCCGGGTAAGGAGACAGGGAGAAAGATCAAAGAGTTTGGGGAGCTGGATCTGAAATGTGAATTGAAAATAAAAATCAAGCCTGGACACATTCCAGTTTCTAAAGCAAAACCAACCCTCTGCAGAGGCCATCTCGCCACAGCGCGCTTTCTCTCTGCTCCCTTTGCTCCTTTTTTTTTCTCTTCTCCTTCTCAAAATCACTCGAGCACATGGGATAAAATAAAGGCAACATAGGGAAGCACTTAGATTCTCCAGATTTTGTTTTGCAGTAATTTTATTAGGGAAATATCTTGTTCATAATTACCGTTATGTGGGGCCAAATTTCTTCAGCCATAAATATTGTCTTCTTCCAGCATGCTTCACACTTTCTTCTGTGGCCACATTTTTTGAGAGCGAGCGCTGACACACGTGGGTCAGCCCTGTTCCTGCGTCCTGCTATGTTAACCCCTCTGCTCACGGGTCCGGTGCACTGCACATTTCGTCCACAGAAGTTAGATTCTGGAAAACTGATGTTAATACCATTTTTAATCGCTTTCCCAGTCTGCCTCTGATTGGAATCTGTCTCATCGGTGGGTCAACCCACATGTTTCAAAAGCGAGACTCCGCAGAAAAGCTTGAGTCTATGGCGGAAGGCCTGTAAGTTTTCTTCTCAGACACATTTTCCCCGATAGTGTGATGCGGAAGCGGACATTCCAGGTCCAAGACAGGCTCAGCACTGAAGTTAGGTAGGGCATCTGACCTCTCGTAACCTCATTTTCTTTGCAAATGACTGTGTAGTAGCCTACCTTTCAAGGAGATAATGCTTGTGAAACTGCGCAATAGGGTAAGGCATTGGACCATGATGCGAGAGGCTTCTTTAAGGGGAAAAATCTGTTCGTTGCAGAATCAAAGTTAATAAAGCCCCGGGAACTTTTACCACGAAGGAGATAAGCATGTTTGTGGGGGTAACGAGTACGTGGGTAAAGTGCTTGAAGGATCGGCAGAAGGAACTCTGACACGCTGGCGGGAGGAGGTCCTGAATGGTAGGCTAGACATGTTTTGAGAAGCGGTGAGACTCTCCCCAGAGTCTGTATCTTAGAATATGGTATCCCGGGCTGCAGGGTCCCAAGCTCATAGTGCTGTGATGACGGTGACCAAGACTTCCTGGGAAATGACAGGAGCAAAGCGGAAGACTTAGAACAGCTGGCTCATGAGTGATACTAACTCACCCAAGGTAACCCCACCGATGGAGTCACTCTCTGGGCCGTCTCTCAGCATAAGCTCTTCAAAGCAGCCTGTGGACAGACGGATAGCAGTGTAGTCGGCATGAGAATGTCCAGTGTTGCGACATGGTCCCCGACTGGGGACTTCCAGGGCAAAGGAAACAGAATCCTGAGATATCACTCGGCCTTCTGCTGCCTCCTGCTAACAGCAACACCCAGCTTCCTGATTTGAAGGACTCCACAGCCATTTGGCTTGATTGACACTTAGGAGGCTCCTTCTATTTGTATATCTTACATTTCCCCAAAAGTCACAGGTTAGAAGTGGGTGCCAACCCAGGTCAATAGCAATTCTTCCTTCCTTTCTTTCTTCCTTCCTTATTTTATTTTTATTTTATTTTGTTTTGTTTTTCAATACAGGGTTTCTCTGTGTAACAGTCCTGGCTGTCCTGGAATTTCCTTTGTAGATGGGCCTGGCCTCTGCCTCCCAAATGCTGGGATTAAAGATGTGCATCATCCCCACCCACCCCCACCCTTGCACCCCCACCTCCAGCTCCTTCCCTGGGCTCGCTCTCTCTCTCTCTCTCTCTCTCTCTCTCTCTCTCTCTCTCTCTCTCCCTCTCTCTCCTTTTGGTTTTTTGAGACCGGGTTTCTCTATGTAGCCTTTGCTGTCTTGGAACTCACTCTGCATCTGCCTCTCGAACGCTGGGATTAAAGGTGTGTGCCTGCTGGTCTCCTTTCATATTTATTTTTATTTTATGTGCATTGGTGTTTTGCCTGCATGTGTGTCAGTGTGAGGGTATCGGGTCCCCTGGAACTGGAATCACAAACATTAATGAGCTATCATGTGGCTGCTGGAAATTGAACCCAGGTCCTCTGGAAGAGCAGTCAGTGCTCTTAATTGCTGAGTCATTTTTCCAGCCCCCCTCCATTTTCTGTTTGTTTGTTTTGTTTGTTTGTTTGTTTGTTTTTCAAGATGGGGTTTCTTTCTTTTTTAAAAATTGTTTTTTATTGAGCTATATATTTTTCTCTGCTCTCCTCCCTTTCTTTCCCCTCCCCTTCTATCCTCTCCCATGGTCCCCATGCTCCCAATTTACTCAGCAGATCTTGTCAAGACAGAGTTTCTTTGTGTAGCCTTGACTGTCCTAGAACTTGCTCTGTAGACCAGGCTGACATCAGCCTCACAGAGATCCCCCTGCCTCTTACTCTTGAGTTCTGGTATTAAAGGCATGTGCCACCACTGCCTGGCCTCAGACACAAACTTTTTAAAATTTAGTCCTGGCCGGAGGGGGAGTATCAGCAAAGCATCGAGGGCTGCTTAGCGCTATCTTATTTGAGTGGGCAATGAGGAGACCACGGAAATACTAAAAACAGCAACCAAACTGGGTCTCTTTAAGAAACTCTGAAGAAGGCTACCTAGCTAAGGGATTTACTTCGTATTGTAAATCTGTGTCCTTGGTGGACATGGAGGGGCCTCTTGAATGGTGGTAAATGTGCCTCATAAGACGGTCAGCCCTGGTTTGTTTTCTGGGGCTTCCAGGACTCCATCAGCATTGGGAAAGCCCCTAATCCCTGGTTTGAGGCTAGAAACCAAAGCCACAGCCTTCTTTCTTGCCTAAGGGCATCAGTAGAACCAACTGAACCAGAGGGAGATTAATGCAGAGCAAGGTCATTAGCCGCATTGTCCACCCAGTTACTCCCAGCGCACATTGATAGAAATTTCACCTACAGGGACTGCAGGCTGCCTTTGATGTATATGATCTATAGTTTAGTGTTCTGGGAAAGTGCCCGACTGACAGGATCTCCATCCAATGTCTGGAAAACACATCTCCACGGCACAGATTTTTCAGTGTGGGTTTCATCAAAGTCAATAAACTAACCTGGATGCCTGGGGCGGAGCCTCCTGGTTTTTATAACATGACTTTTGTTGGGGGGAATCATACTTAATCTGTGCTCTTTCCATTAGAAACTGGGTAACTTCCAAATTTTCATTTATTTCTCAAAGGAGAGAGTCAGCTACCCAACATTTGACCTGGAGAAAGCTTTCATTTTATAAGTGTTGCTGTCCATAAAAATAGACTCTCTGGATGAAATTATCTCTATTAATGTGTGCGCGTGTGCATGAGCACAAAGCCTTGTTTCTAGCTCTTAACCGTGTCTTGTTTGCACAGCTACATGTAACTCAGAATATTCAATTAGGGGAGAGAATTTAGAAGGTTGAAGGTGCCAATACAAATAGTTTAGATTACAACATTGTCATCTGGCTTGAGCAAACAGTTATTTGGCAGAATAAGTCTAATTGCCTTATCTGAATGTGGCTTAAAAGGTCCTTCGGTCCCATTCTGCCAATTCCAGATCTCAAGCCTGTTTCCCTTAGGTTGAATTGGCAGAAAGCAAATCAGAGAGATGAATGACTTTCCTATCAAGTTAAACACGTTGACTGCCAGTTCTGATTGCTCTCCAGACTCCTAAATGCGTTTTAGGGCTTGACTTAAACAGATACGTGGTCTTTGTTCTTTGGTTTCTCAGGGTTGCCTTCAGACAGCCTTCCTTTGCAGTACAGGAGCAGATAACTGACCTCGAAGAAGCTCCCACTCCTCTGGTGAGCTCAACCTTCCTGTGGTAGACAACTCACTAGTCCTCAGCCTCCACTCCGCTGGGGTCCCTGCATGTCCCCCCACACTTCACAATAAAACCCTTTGTTTCCTGTCTCCCATGCAAGACTCCCCAAGTGTTGTGTTAACTCGTTGGTTGCTGCCTCTTAAAGCCGTTATATAAATAGTTGATATAGGGAATGTACTGGCTGGTTTTGTGTGTCAACTTTGACACAAGCTAGAGTCTTCAGAGAGAAAGGAGCCTCAGTTGAGGAAATTAGTCCTTAAGATCATAAGATCCAGCTGTCAGACATATTTTCTCCCCTAGTGATCAACGGGGGAGGGTCCAGCCCATGATAGGTGGTGCCATCCCTGGGCTGGTGGTCCTGGGTTCTATAAGAAAGTTGACTGAGCAAGCCAGTAAGCAACCCCCCACCCATGGCCTCTGCATCAGCTCCTGTCTCCAGGATCCTATCCTGGTTGAGTTCCTGGCCTGACTTCTTTCAATATGAACAGTGCTGTGTGAGTCCAATGAACTCTTTCCTTCCCAACTTGCTTTTTGACCATGGTGTTTGGTCATAGCAATAGAAACCCTGATTAAGACAGAGATTTATAAGAAAATAAGTCTATATTCAGTACAGTCATTAAATATTTACACCTATAGTTCTATTTCATTAGAAAGCAAAATAAGTTTTTGTGAATAGCTCAAAATTGTAACAACCAACATATGAAAATCCATCAATGTAATCCACCATATAAACAAACTGAAAAATAAAAACCACAAGATCATCTCATTAGATGCTGGAAAAGCCTTCATCAAAATACAACATCCCTTCACGATAAAGGTCTTGGAGAGAGTATGGATACAAGGAACATACTTAAACATAATAAAGGCAATATACAGCAAGCCAACAGCCAAAATCAAACTAAATGGCGAGAAACTCACAGCAATCCCACTGAAATCAGGAACAAGACAAGGCTGTCCACTCTCTCCATATCTATTCAATATAGTTCTTGAGGTCCTAGCTAGAACAATAAGACACCAAAGGGAGATCAAGGGGATACAAATCGGAAAAGAAGAAGTCAAACTCTCACTATTTGCTGATGATATGATGGTTTATATAAGCAATCCCAAAAATTCTCCCAAGAAACTTATACAACTCATAAACACTTTCAGTAATGTAGTAGGATGCAAGATTATCTCAAAAAAAATC